GAAACAGGCTCCAGGCTCTGAGCTATCAGCCCAGAGCCCGACGCGGGGCTTGAACTCATGGAGCACGAGATCATGACCTGGCTGAAGTTGGACGCTTAACCGACTGCGCCACCCAGGCGCCCCAAAAGTTATACTGTTTTAATGTATTTATTAAAATGTGTTTTCATACTTGAATATAATGATTAAAGTTATCACCAATGTAAGATTTAGGCAGAAGGAGAATAATTACAGTGTCGATTCTATTGGGATTTTGTTCTATCAACTGAATTTACGCAAAAGTGTTATTTCAAATTTATGCCTTATGACAACTTCCCAATATGTTATATTATTAGTACACTAAATTACGCATAACAGGAGAATGTTAACATCTTTAATACACACCCACTTTTTGTTATAAAAATGAATTGACATGTATGCATCTTATTTTGGTAACTAATTAAAAGTATGAAACACCCTGACTGATATAATACAGACAATCAGGAGAGCATAAGCACAATCACATAGGTCTACTTCCAAAGTTAAAAAAAACAAGATGTTAAGATTATGAAGTGATAGTGGATTTTCTGTTCTTTTTTTCCCCCCTTGAAACAGAACTTAAGAGTTAAGATTTTATATTCTCACAAACTTCAAATCTAACTTCTATAAAAACAGATTAATGTTTGAATTCTAGAATAAAAGAGCTAAAGCTGAATTTTTAAATGGTATAAAAGAGAACAACTGATTTACTAAGTACCTTGCTCAAACACACAATCTCCTGTCTAAGAAATTTTGAGACAATCAATCATTCAAGTTTACAGAATACCAAATGCATTTTTCTAAATGTCACAAAAGGCTGAGTAGAGTTTCTCCAAGGACACTCCAACTTTAGAATGTTAACTGTGGAGACAGATTAAGCTGTTTGTAGGAAAGAAGAGCAGAAATATGCTACCTTAATAAGTTAAAGAGAAAGGTCAATATAAAGTCTGATGAATGTTAAAAATGTAATCTAGAACAAAAAAGAATATACTATAAAAGAAATTATAAGCCTAAAACTCATATATATTAGCAATTTTAAATCCCTTGAAATTTAGAATTGATTATTTTTCATGTAATTTATCAAAATAACTAATTTCTCATAAAACAGTACTAGGGTGCTTTGCTTTATTTTTTTTTAAATCTTTAAGCTAGCTGGCTACATAACACATAAAATTTGATTTAAATAATATTTAAATAATTTTATCTTTATTAACATCACTGTAGTATTATTAGTGAAAACCAAGACTATTTTTTTTACCATTTTACTTTCTTATAATTAATACATATGAGAAAACTAGTTCTAAATTCAATCTGGAACATATAAAAGAACACATAACCAATAGGAAGATAACTGAGAAAGCAAAATCAGCTTTAAAAATCAGTATGTTTTAAAATAAAGAGTTTTATAAAAGTTTAGCAACTTACTTAAATTGTTGAAAACCAAAGTTTTATTCCTAAAGTAGGGACAATATAAAGCTAGCACTTCCAAGATCATTCAGATATCAGAAGAAAGTTGTTAAGTACAGTACTGATTTAACATGGGATTGGTCTTATGTGTATTACCCAGCACCATTACTTTCTCTGCTAAAACAATCAAAACTAAACAAATCAACTGCAAGGCTATTTATTTTTTGTTGATTTTCACAGGTGATCCTTTGATGTTGAGTTTGTCCACAAAAACATTTGATCTTCTTCCATGTTCAATGGCTGGACTTTGATGAGGTTTCTCCCTGAGAAATATAATATGAACATTAATACCATTTTTTAAATGGCCAATGGTTTACAATTCAATACAAACATGATAAAACCACTGTAATTTATAGAGTTTTATCTAAAAATTCAATGATAGCTTTCAAAAACACATGGGAGGGGTGCCTGGGTGGCTCAGTTGGTTGAGCATCCGACTTCAGCTCAGGTAATGATCTCACAGTCTGTGAGTTCGAGCCCTGAGTCAGGCTCCTGTGCTGACAGCTCAGACCCTGGAGCCTGCTTCAAATTCTGGGTCTCCCTCTCTCTCTGCCCCTCCCCCACCCATGCTCTGTCTCTAATTCTCTCTGTCAAAAATAAATAAACATTAAAAAAAATTTTTTTAAAAAGCAAAACACATGGGAGACTATTTCATTAACATTTAAGAAAGCAACAGCTACTTTCCTGAGATGTTTGACATGCTAGCCACTAGCCACGTTATTTAAATTTAAATTAATTAAAATAAAATAAAGTTTAAAATTCAGTTCCTCAGTTGCCTCAGCCATATTTCAAGTGTGGTTTAATAGCCACATGTGGCTAGAGGCTACCATATTGGATGATATAGATACATAACATTTTTGTCATTGCAGGAAATCATTTCAGAAAGTTCTATTAGACAATACTAGTTTACAAAAAATGCCACTGATGGGGCCACAGATGTAAGATCATCTATAAAGAACATGTTTTCGGGGTGCCTGGGTGGCTCAGTCGGTTAAGCATCCGACTTCAGCTCAGGTCATGATCGCACAGTCCGTGAGTTTGAGCCCCGCGTTGGGCTCTGTGCTGATAGCTCGGAGCCTGGAGCCTGCTTCCGATTCTGTGTCTCCCTCTCTCTGACCCTTCCCCGTTCATGCTCTGTCTCTCTCTGTATCAAAAATAAATAAACATTTAAAAAAATTAAAAAAAAAAAGAAGAACATGTTTTCTCTAACAGGGACCTGGATTTCATAATCATAATTAGCACTGTAAAGTTTTTATCAACAAACTTTTCAAAGTGAGACAAATATTGTCTAAAAGTAACATGGGAGCAAATTTTCTATAGAAAATATTAGGGCTCTAAGTTCCTAAATAAGTAATTTAAAATAAAAGATGCTGGCACATGACACTCTGCACAAGGCTTCTGATTTACTTGGTACCCATTTGTCCATCGCTCGTTCTGTGAAGCCCTCCACCTTCTGCAGCAATCCTCCACTCTCTTATGGCCTAGAATAGATTTCTGTTTGGTTTTTTTTTTTTTAATTTTTTTTTTCAACGTTTATTTATTTTTGCGAAAGAGAGAGACAGAGCATGAACAGGGGAGGGGCAGAGAGAGAGGGAGACACAGAATCGGAAACAGGCTCCAGGCTCTGAGCCATCAGCCCAGAGCCTGACGCGGGGCTCGAACTCACGGACTGAGAGATCGTGACCTGGCTGAAGTCGGACGCCCAACCGACTGCGCCACCCAGGCGCCCCTAGATTTCTGTTTTCAACGTTTATTTATTTTTGGGACAGAGAGAGACAGAGCATGAACGGGGGAGGGGCAGAGAGAGAGGGAGACACAGAATCGGAAACAGGCTCCAGGCTCTGAGCCGTCAGCCCAGAGTCTGACGCGGGGCTCGAACTCCCGGACCGCAAGATCGTGACCTGGCTGAAGTCGGACGCTTAACCGACTGCGCCACCCAGGCGCCCCTAGATTTCTGTTTTAAGGCCTGGTGAAGCCTCTCTCTCTCTCTCAAGTGTAATTTTAATAGGAATTAGGTATTGTTTTCCATTTTTTCCCCAGAGAACCAAATTAAATTCTAACTCTAACATACACATTAAATGTACAAAAATCTCTAATCTTTAAGGTATGGCTTCAGCGTATTTATATTTCACAGCTATTCCAAAAGGTAATCCCAAAGAAGGCTAAAGTTTTTGAAAAATTCTTCCAAAATATCTAATATCTAATACCTAATATAGGTGCAGATATTGTTTATTATACAAGTGTCTAAAAATGCATTTGCCATTGACTTGTTAGGGAAGTTTGTTAAGCCTTTCCAATGGAGCCCCTCTCCCCTTATCATATCTCTAGACACCAATATGTTCACCTGGCATGAAATATATGACTCCTACTCTATCTAGACTAAAAACTGTTTTACAAAAATAACTATAATATATCACACTTCCTTAGAAGGATTTTAGCCCCTATCTTCTGAGGCATAATTTGCTAGTGAGTTACTAGTGATACAATCTTAAAATATTATTGGTTTTTAGATACAAATTCAAATTTGTGTGGCATACTCAGATATAATGTAAAATTATTATATTCTTCACAAAATATACTGTTGATATAAACAACAGATGTTAATCAAAACTTCCTGATACAGAGGTAAAATTTCATAACTTTTCTTCTAATTCTTCTTTAAAAAGCACAATTTATTTTAGAAATAACTTTTACCTTCTTTTAAGTTCTCGGGAGCCTGAATTCTCATGACCAACACTTCGCATCTTAGGGTTTTCCACATGGCGCCACTGTCCCGCTGGTCTGTACTTCAAAATCTCATTCTGCCATTCATCATCAAAAGCGTGAGCATCACCTGCATTAAATATCAAAATAAAGGGGCAAGTATTAAGATATCAACTGTCAGTAAATGCTTTGTTTCCACATACTTGATTCTGGCTTTGTGCTTCTATCATCTAACCTCAAGATAGATGCAGGGAAGTGCTCCAAATATAAAGGTCTTTGACTCAGGGTAATACTTCCTTTTTTGTTTGTCCCTCTTATTCCTATTGACAATTTGGTTATTGACAATCTGGTCTTTCATGCATCTGCCTGGATATCATATTATTCCACCCAATGGACCCTTTGACCAAATCATACTGATTCACAGTCTTTTTTGGGGGGGTCATCTCCTGGTGAACATGCTTTTCCTCTGTACTTGGAAACTCCTTCAATAACAAGCACTTCCTATTAACCTCACCATTTTCCTGCATAACTTGGCCTAACACACAAGCTTCTGTTGTCAATTTCCTGATAGGCTGCACATCTTGACTGTCAATTTATGTTGTTATGAAGTAGGTAATCTGACTTTGATAATAACAGCTGTTAAATGGTAATACTGTTCTTCCAGATGGCCTTTATAATGTATGTGTTCTTTCAGTAAATTTTTCCTCAACATGTTAATTATTGTGAAATACTCTTCATATGTTTAACTATGACAAAACTACAAAGGTTAAAATTAAAGAAAGGTTAAGATGTAACTTCCATCTCATCGCCGAAGAATAATTTTATCAACCCAACCTTAAGAGAATTTCTTTTACTAAAATGGTAATTTAAACCCTTTATTAAGACAAAACACTTTTTGAAAATGCTTTTTGAAAATGAGAGATGAATATAACCCAAAAACTACAATGACAAGTTAGGGCACTGAAAGGACTTAAATGCATTGAAGAATGAATATAAAATCTAGAAAATGTAAAGACTTATTTGATATATACATGATATACTATCTAACAGTACAAGGAATTAAAATCTTATCTATACAAAACTTCAAGTGTCTGCCAGTAAAGAATGGTTTAAATAAAATATGGCCTATTCAGGATAAAACTTTTAGGTAACCATTTAGAATATTTTTGAAAGACAACATCATAGGTAATTGCTTCACAATTATAATGGTGAATTAAAATAAGCACAATATAAACTAGACAATAAAATACTAATTAAAAAAAGTTTATGTGTTTATATATACATAAAACTATTAAGAAGAAATATAGTAAAACAGTAATAATGGTTATTTGAGGTTGTGATTATAGATAATTTTAATTTTCTTCTTTCTTCATTTTTTAAATATACCCCAGAAATACTAAAAAACTCATTTTGCCTACTGACAGTCTTACCAAATGACAATTCAAAAGATTGCATTTCCAAGTATAAAACAAAAAATAAGTAACATTACCAAAACCACTGTAAAAAACAGATCTACTATGAAACAATGAATACACAATTTTATTACTTTGATAAGGTAGTCCATACACGTACTATTCATAACCTACCTCAAAAGGACATCTTATGAAATGTTTCTACAGAAAACATTCAAGTTCTACCAGTACAGCTGCTGTTTTAAGAGGAAGAATGCTACTTTCTGTGACAACTTACTTTCATTCATATTGATGAACTCTTGATTGACCTCTTCGTCTCCAGTTTTGCTGTTCTTTGACTTTTTAATGACATGAGCTCTGTCGTGAAGATGATGACCAACAGCCATTTTTTCTAGTCCACTGTCAGAATCTCTCAATGCTCTCCTAGTTTCCTTTATCTATAAAAGTGAGTTATTATTTAAATATATATAGAATATTTATATTTCTAAATTTCTCAGGACCTCTTTACCTATAGAGGTAAGACCATAAATCTACAGCTGCAAAAATACTGGGTACTCAGTTCCCCTGCTAAGTTGCAGTGAAACTGTGATAATAGTTCTCTGATATTTCCTGGACTGCTCAAAATTAAAATGTCTAGGGCAAATAGAACCATTATAATCTAACCTTTTTTTCTAAATTGTAATCAAATATTAAAACAAATAACTTAATTATATAAAACTTAGTGCCTTCAACACTGTCCTTAACAAAGTAATAGTTAGGAGTACATGCTAGCATTCCTACAAATAAAGGCAACTAATTATTCAGTAGTCATGTTGATGGGCTTGAAATCTCATGGCTCCTACATATCAACTCTATGGGTCATTAGAATATTAGTGATAGCCAAAGACTATTAATAGTAGCATGGTTTGCTGTAGGATGTCTATAAATAAATTGCTTACATTTAAGATGCATGTCACTTATAGCAAGTTAAAATGAAAATGTCTGCCCTATGGCAAGAGCATCATTAAAAGGTATGTCTTCATATGTAAGAACTAAAAAATGAACTACTCACACCTATTAAATAGGCAAACCTAATTTTTTTTTTTACTGTAAGTACTAACAAGGAAGTGTAGGAATGGAAGCTCATTATAAGACTTTCTGGGAGCCAACTGTTTCAATCGCTGTGTGATAGTAATTTAGTAATTTCTAGGAAAAGATGAAGGCACTCACCTCCTACAAACCAACAATAACATTCCTAGACCTTTTGCACAAGGAGACATGTATAAAGATAAGTAAGTGAGAAATTAGAAATATCTATCAACAGAAAAATAGATTCAAAACTGTGGTATATTCATATTTTAGATAATATATAGAAGTCAAAATAAAGAAACAGCTGCACGTATCAACTCGACTAAATCTCAGAAGCATATTACTGAGCAAAGTCAAGTTGCAGAGGACACACGCAGCATGAACCCATTTATATAAAGTTTAGAAACCCATAAAATAATTCATTATATTGTTTTTGAAGCATATGTAAGTAATAAAATTGTAAAAATCTACATCAGAAAAAGTTCCAGATATAGGAAAATGGTTCTTTTTGGGGGAGAAAGTAAAAGGGAAAAGGAACCAGGGAGGGATGAGTGCATGGAAACTTAAACTGCATCTGTAACATTTTTGCTTAAAAAGAAAAGAAAGCAAGAGACAACGTAAAGCAAATAGAGAAAAACTTTATGATTTAACTAAACTGAGTGGAAGGAATATGGGTATTTATTATATTATTTTCTATATATTTTCTGTACACTTGTATTTTATGAGTTAAAAAATTCATTTACTTCAGATATAAATTAAAAATTGACACTTGGGGCGCCTGGGTGGCGCAGTCGGTTAAGCGTCCGACTTCAGCCAGGTCACGATCTCGCGGTCCGTGAGTTCGAGCCCCGCGTCAGGCTCTGGGCTGATGGCTCAGAGCCTGGAGCCTGTTTCTGATTCTGTGTCTCCCTCTCTCTCTGCCCCTCCCCCGTACATGCTCTGTCTCTCTCTGTCCCAAAAATAAATAAACGTTGAAAAAAAAAAAAATTTAAAAAAAAAAATTGACACTTATTTCACAAAACAAAGACTTTTTTCAGGTCTACTTACCTGGTCAAGATGTAAAGGTAATAGCAAACATCAATAATAGAAATTTACATGAAAAAGGCACCTGAGGTGGGGTTGGGGAGACAAAAATTGCCTTAAACTAAGGAAAGGCAGCTAGCATTACTGTTTTTCACAGTGATATGGTGTCTTCTCCCCCTATCCCTACTCCCAAAGAACTGTATCAAGCTTTAATAATTAAAATATGACATAGGTGATGTATCATTCCAAATTTTATAAAGCTCCAAGAATGCTCAGAAAATACTTACTCCTCCTGGAGCCCTACGGGTTTGAGTCGAGGCCTGGAAAACCTTTGGTGGTTCATCTCCTACTTTGGAATAAGTCATAATTGAGGAAGAACTAAATGAATGTCCATTTGGATCCACTGAAAGGTGACCCTAGAGGTAAGTATAAAATGTAAATCCAGAGAGTTTAGTCAAATATGAAGACTTATGTCAGAGGATTCAGGTAAGTAACAATACTAGCTAGACATTCTACTAAGGCTATGGTGTATCCAAATAGCACCTCCAGGAAGGTCCTAATCTCCTTCCATTGTAGGTACCAATTTTCACTCTTCTTGTGAGGAATAATAACAAGTGATTCACTCATAGATCCTGAAGTCTTTGAGATCACAGACTTGTAGCTTAGATTTAAATATAAATGCTGTGCCCTGAGGCCTATGATACTATTATAGTTAGTGGTTGACCCTTGTGTGTAATTTTGCCAACAGTGAACCAACTAGCCATATACCAAGAAGTTTTACACCTCCTGTGGGTACCAGATTGCTAGATTACTAATGTCATTAATAATGCCCTAGATTTGGACATTCTGAAATGATCCTTAGATTCTAAACTGGATGACTAAAATAATATGAGTCTTCTTCATCAATATGAAGTTATTATTATTATTTTTTTTGATGTTAATAGTACAAGTAGAAAAGTAAGAGTATTAGTACTAGCTTGTAACTATTTGGATTGCATGGATCTAATCCAGTGATTAACATCACTCCTAAAATATCTGTTTTCAGTTTTTTAGAAAAACAATACAAAACACTAAAAATTTCCTAGGTGCTACAAATCTTTTTAAGTAGACAAGTTACAAATAATTTAAAAATCTAAATTCATATAAAATGTCCATTTACAATAGTGACCTTCAGCAGAACAAATGTTTTTGAGGTTGTTTAATTTTGAAAGTTAATTAATGCTATTTTTCAAACTCATAGTTTGTAAAATCAATTTGGTAGGTTGTGACCAGGATTTTTAAAATATGAACTAAAACAGAAAATATTGGCACACTCTGTAAATAGTATGATCATTTTCTCGCAAAACTTTTATTTCAGGTATATTTTTATAGTACACAAGTATTGTGTACTGGGTCATACTGTAAGATATATTTTTCAACCACTGTGGACCATGATTAAAAAAAAGTTGAGGGGTGCCTGGGTGGCTCAGTCGGTTCAGCGTCCAACTTCGGCTTAGGTCATGATCTCATGGTTCGTGAGTTCGAGCCCCATGTCGGGCTCTGTGCTGACAGCTTGGAGCCTGGGGCCTGCTTCAGATTCTGTGTCTCCCTCTCTCTCTGTCCATCCCCCACTCATGCTCTGTCTCTCTGTCTTTCAAAAATAAATAAACATTAAAAAATTTAAAAAAAAATTGAAAGCCACTATAATATGGGTACCAATAACTGAAAATAATGTTCTCATCAATTTTTTAGTACTTACAAAGCTTCTTTGTAATTCCTGCATGCTGTTTCGCATATTTAACATCATTCGGTCCATTGCCTGAAAAGGGTTGACATCTGTACGCTACAGGATATTAGGAAGTATGTTATTAACTATATGTACAACACAAAAGAAGCAAATCAACCTTCCCAAAACAGCTGAAATTTTTTTTTCTTGATTTTTGCAGTGGGATCTCATGCAGTAATCAACCAGGCAAAGATAATTTAAGGACTATACAAAAAAGTGATTTGTTAAGGAAAAAATGGAAGCATATATACAGAATCCCAAACAACCAACATATAGAGAGTTCCAACACTATAAATTCATGCATACATACATGTATATATGCATATACACACACATATATAAATGCATGAACATATACAGATAAACACACATTCATCAACTTTCTCAAAACACAATTTAGTTAATATTTAAATGCCGAGCAGTGTCTGGGCTGGGACAGCTCTAGAATAGAATAGTTTTCAAGTTTTTCCTTCCTCCCTCTCAATACAGCAGCATGCAAATAAATAAAACTTGGGTATAAGATACCAATGTCACTTCCACTAGTACAACACAGGTGACAGAAACTGCCTGAGGGTGCAGGCTGTCCTTACATCATAAGAGGATCCAAGGGATAGAGGTTAATTCACTCTACTAGTAGGCCTGGAATTTGCCACCTACCATGGAAGGCTCAGTAGGGCATTCCCTTGAAGCATGACATATGCTTCTTTAGAATAATTAAGAATTGCTCTAGAATAGTGGTTTCTCAGCCAAGATTGACTTTGACTCTCTGGGGCATTTGTCAATAATTATACTCATTTTTGTGTGTCACAACCAAGGAGGTGTATGACTGTCATCTACTGAGTAAAGGCCAGGGACACTGCTAAAATCCTACAAAGCATAGGACAGTCCCCTACTCCCTAGAAAAAGAATTATCTGGCTTCAAATATCAATGGTGTCGGGTTGAGAAGCTCTGCTCTACAAAAATCAGTCACTGATTTTAGTTTTTATCACTAGAACACTCACCAGAACTTAAAAAATGAAGCACACATTTTAGTGTGTCACCCAACGCATTATTTACTATTATAAAACAGAAGTGTTTGATTCAAGGAACTTCTCCACTTAAACGGGAGTCTTCTGAATTCTGTAAGGGACTATAGTTTAATGCTAGTATTTCAGTCCCTCTGGAGATTCTTTTGCTGTATGCCAAGCTGGGACTCAATAAAGAATTATCAAAGGCCTGTCTCTATCTCTGCCTTCCATTGGGTTTTTATTACTTGTAACAATGGGAAATAGATAGGAAAACTAAATTCTTCTTTAGAACTTGCACTTATCACATCAGGGAACAAAGACACATTTGTGAGATACTGATACATATATCTTTGGGTACACAATGCACAATCTGCGTTTCAGGGATTCAACACAATTCAGGAAACATTCTGAATATTTTGTTTCAACACCAGGTTGAGAAATCAGGGCTGTATAAAAGACAAAATTCATGAGCGTTAGAAGGACTAGCCCAAGTAAGAAGACGAGAAGGAAGAAAAGATCAGATGTTTGGGTACATTCTGCCGTTTTCTCAATTCACTGCCACATCAGCCATTTAAAAATTTATCTGTACTTGCTGTGGGGTGGCCCAACACCTTGGAGTGACAAAAAGTGGGGGGTACAAATTAGAGCTAAGATTCCAGTGAGCTCCTAAGGACTTTGGGAACTTTGAACACATGCTCTTCTCTCTGCCTGTAATGTTTTTATACTGGCTCTCAGCATATCCTCTCATGATTCAAGTATTACCTCCTCAGAAAGGCGACCGGTCTAAAGTAATCTCTGCTTCACCTTCCATCTGTCACTATATCATTACCCTGCTTCATCTCCTTTAGTGTACTTCAAAGTACTTTATCTGAAATTATTTTGTTATTTATTGCCTGTCTTCCTTCTATAGAAATAATTTCTGTGAAGTTAGGGTTATCTTCTCTGTTTTATTCACTACTATATTCTCAATACTTTCAAAATAATTCCTAGCACACAGGAGGACTCCCTAAACATTTGATGAATAAATGAACAAACTATCTCTAACTCAGCTCAAACTCATATATTCAATTGACACCAGATAAATTGTAAACCAGATAAACTATTGCCTCAAATGCAAAATATCCCAAACAGAAATGATCCTTTGACCACCCCTGTTCTCTTATCTGTTCATATGAGTATGAATGCTCTGTTCCTTAGCTCAATGGCATTCCCATCTAGCTAATTTCTCATGTCAAAAAATGGGCATAATACTTTCCTTTTCTCTCTTTACTGTTCCTTCAACACAAGAAATCCCCAAGTTCTACCCATTCACCTCTTTAACTCTCTTTCAGACGAGATTATTTCTCTTTATCACCACGGGCATTACCCAAGTAGAAGCCATTAGTAATATTTCCCAGAACACTTTAACAGCTTCCTGGCCTCTCTGTCTCCACTGTGGTCCCTTCTAGTCTTTCTTTCCCCTATAGGCACAATAATCTTTCAAAAATGAGAACCTGACTCTATTGCCATTTTGGTGAAAATTCATCAACTGCTTCCTTATTCTTCAGATAATATCCCCAGTTCTTACCAGCACAAAAAGAAGTCCCTGATTACCTCCGTATTTTTATCTGTATCTACTCTCCAACCCGTGCTCCAGGGCCAAGTGATCCTAAACATCTTTGAGCTTCCTAGCTAACAGGTCTTTGCACATGTGTTTTCTTCTGTGTTGAACACCCTTGTTCTCCCCCTCTCCCTGCTTTTCCTGGCTAACTCCTAATAATCCTTAAGGTTCTGGAAATCTCTGATTAACTTCCACCCCAACACCACAAAAGGTCTAGGTACCAGGCTTTTTTCTATCTGTGCTTCCACAGCACGCTGAACTTCTTGATCATTTTACTGATAAGTGAGCAGTTATAGCACAGAGTGAATTTGTTGTTTGTCCCACTAATAACTCTGGTGAGGAAGGACAAATATGGTATGTCAAACTTTAAGGAGACAAAGGGCTAAAGTCTAAAAAAGAAAATAAACAAACTTTTGCATAAGAGCATAGATGCGTCCAAAGGAAATGTTCTAAGGTCATGCTATTCTCTGCTACTCCTTAGACTGCCTTTAAGTATGTTAGAAACTAGCATCACAGAAAACAAAGAAATAGCAGGAGAAAAGCTGGTTGCAGAGTAGCCATACTTGGACATGGGAAAGGAAAAGCAGCATGAGTAAGTTAACAACAGAGTGCTAGAAAAAGCAGCCAATCTGAGCTTCTGCAAATGTGCTCTTCTAGCTACAGTTTGGTACTTTTTTTATCTTTTGGAAAGTCACCACAGCATATGGAAGTGTCCAAACTTTCAAACACAACTATGGGGATCCCTTTTGTAAATCAAATGAATATTCATCTATTAAAATGCATTTTTTCTCTTTGAAGACTGATTTTATTTATGTTGATATGACTTAATTCAGAAAAAAACATGCCTGAACACTCTAAGATCAACACATGAAACAGGTTTCAGTACAAATTCTAAAAAGCCATTTTGAAATTAAGTGAAACTGCATGCCAATTCACTTTGCTTGAGTTAATGAAAAATACTTGTCAGAAAATACTGCTAAAATGGTTTGTGTCTCATGATACGAACCATACCACCAAAACTGCCAAAAGGCATAAGAGAATTCATTACCTAGGAAAAAAATCCAATTAATTTTAGTTATGATATGTATAATGACAATCCCTGAAAAAGAAAGAAATATACTACATAATCACATAGTTCTGAGCTGATAAAAATTTTAAACCATTTAATAAAAAATCCTCAACATAGATTTTAAAAATTACCTGCTTATTATTGTTATTCAAAACCATATACCACTCTTAAATATGACTGCTATATCCTATTTACCAAAAACAGTTGAAAGAAAAAGTCTTTGTTATAGATTAAGACAAACATTTCTCAAAGGAAATGCAAATTCACACCAAAGGTATAATGATTAAAGTATCATCTTTCCTTTGCTCAACTATTCCATATTTTTAAAAGATGAGTTGGGGCGCCTGGGTGGCTCAGTCGGTTAAGCGTCCGACTTCAGCTCAGGTCATGATCTCACAGTTCATGGGTTCGAGCCCTGTGTCAGGCTCTGTGCTGACAGCTCAGAGCCTGGAACCTGCTTCAGATTCTGTGTCTCCCTCTCTTTCTGCCCCTCCCTGGCTCGCACTCTGTCTCTCTCCCTCTCTGAAAAATAAATAAATATTAAAAAAAAAAAAGATGAGTTAACCTACCTATAACTGATTAAAAATAAGCAATTACCTACATTAATAACATTTCAAAAGATAAGTAGAGACATTGGGCAAAAAAATTAATGAGAATCTCCCAAGAACTAATATATAGAATAAAAAATATAGACTTCAGAAAGGATCACAAACACAGATTTAAAAATATATAGGGTCTTTGATAAAAAAATGTTAAGTATGATAAATGGAATTATCAAAATTAATAGTTCACAAATTGTATTCCTCAGTAGGTACAGATAAGTAAAAATAAAATTTAGGCAGATAAATATAAAAATTAAAAATTTTCATTACTTGGAGGTTTCAAATATTGAAAGTAAAATCTGAATTTTTGGGTAAATGGTATATGTAAGGTTTTACCATCATTCAGTGATAATTTTCTCCCTATGTAAGTTATGGTGAAAAATAGAGAAAATGTGTATTTATGTTAAATTGTATAATAAATTATATCAGATAATATATATGTATACTATATATTTAGAAGAGTAATCTCCAAAGTGCACTGAATGCACAAATAAAATTTCTCTATATCTTTTCGCTTCAAAGAAAAATATTAAATTTTTTTTATGTTTATTCATTTTTGAGAGACAGAGACAGAGTGAGAGCAGAGGAAGGAAAGAGAGAGAGGGAGACACAGAATCAGCAGGCTCCAGGGTCTGAGCTGTCAGCACAGTAGCCCTATGCAGGGCTCAAACCCACAAACCATGAGATCATGACCTGAGCTGAAGTCAGATGCTTAACCAACTGAGCCACCCAGGCGCCCCTAAAAGAAAAACATTTTAGATTGACTCTGGTGCCATCACTCAATCTAAATGTCTGATGGTCACATGTCATACCTTGAATTATAAATTGCTTAAATATATTTACAGATTAAATTATCTAGTTTTTAACAAAACTAATCCTCCCAAAATGGACAACTGGCTTAAAAATATCCCCATAGGAGCACCTGGGTGGCTCAGTTGGTTAAGTGTCTGACTCTTGGTTTCAGCTCAGGTCATGATCTCAAGGTTCCTGAGTTTGAGCCCAGCATAGGACTCCATGCTGACAGTGCGGAGCTCGCTTGGGATTCTCTCTCTCCCTCTCTCTTTGCCCCTCCCCCATTTGCTCATGTGCTCTCTCTCTCAAAAATAAACTTTAAAAAAAATAAAAAATCCCCATAAAATTATCATGAACTGAAGAAAATGCTAATAATATAAATAGGAAAACAGCATAGTTAGCTTCACCTACTTTTGTAGGAGTCTCTGCTTTCTTCATAAAATGGCTGACAGAGATGACAAATGTCAAGAAATGGGCCAAAAATTTAAAAAAAATATCAAGATGTCTAGCTGAAATGTAGATTTTCATCCACCATGCTTAAAAGCAACAGCTAATGGCTCACTGCTTAATCAAAAAATTTATAATTTCATGAGAAGAGAGAGAAGCTTTATATGAATTTTGATGAAAGTTCAAATGGACTAGGATAGCTAGCATGCTCAAAAAGCCTACTGTTTTCTTGGCTGTGCTCTTTTCAGATAGTAGCAGTCTTTCCCATCTTCTGCAGTCAATTTCTATTTGTTCCTACCTTCACATCTAGTTATAAAACACTGACTTAGAAAAGTTCAAGCTGGCAGAGAGGTCTTTTGTTGCTACTGTGTGTTTGGTTTTGCTTTAATTAATTTATTTTTGCTATTACATTTAGTCTTTCACACTTAGACATACACGTGTCAAATATATACACCCTACAGGATATAAGGAGAGCCAATCCTCACCAATATAAGTTATAAAGGCACACACACAAAAAAATGAGTCTTGGCTAAAAGAGAGGCTAAATGTTCCTTGGAAAAATCTGCTGTAACCAATTTTATTTTATTTTTTTAATTTTTTTTTAACATTTATTTATTTTTGAGACAGAGAGAGACAGAGCATGAATGGGGGAGGGGCAGAGAGAGAGGGACACACAGAATCGGAAGCAGGCTCCAGGCTCCGAGCCATCAGCCCAGAGCCCGACGTGGGGCTCGAACTCACGGACTGCAAGATCGTGACCTGAGCTGAAGTCGGACGCCCAACCGACTGAGCCACCCAGGCGCCCCACCAATTTTATAATTTATAATTATATTACAACTTATAAATTGTAATATTTTAAAAATTAAAATATTCCTACTTCCCTAGGAAAATACTCAGTACTCTTGGCTAGCAAAGGATTTCTATACAGTTTGAACAACAAAAAGTGGATTGGCGTTAGCATTCTAAGATAGTTGATAGGATATAATGTCATTCTCCACTGGGAATAAAATTGCCACTTCTTCCTTCTTCTATAAAAGCTACAAATAGCTCATTTATGCACATAAATACAAAGTACTATATACAGCCCTATTCTTGTCTTGCTATGGTTATAGCAGATACACAAAATATTTCAATGCTCATATGAAAGATAAAATTTCAGAATGTGTTAATTGATTTTCTCTGCACTCCTTGATAATTTTTCCTTTGATCTTAATTTCAGACTTTCATAGAAACTGATAACCCTAAAAGTAAAGTGTATATATATATATATATATATATATTTAAAATGTATATGTTAAATGTATATATTATTTATATATTTAAAATATATTTATATATTTTAAATGTATATATATTTATATATTTTTAAAATGTATATATATATGTATTCACTAAATGAAAAAAAGCAAATTGGAATAAAAGTAATATATATTGGAATAAGATGAAAAAGAATGTGAAATTTTCATTTAAATGGTAAATGTAGGAGTATCTGGGTGGCTTGGTCAGTTAAGCTCACTCTTGGTTTCAGCTTAGGTCATGGTATCTCATGGTTTCGTGGGTTCGAGCCTGCACTGGGCTCTGTGCTGATGGTGCAGAGCCTGCTTGGAATTCTCACTCTCCTTCTCTCTGCCCCTCCCCTGCTCACACTGTCTTTGTCTCTCTCAAAATAAATAAATAAACTTAAAAAATTAAAAAAAAAATGGCAAATGTAATTTTATCCTTCAAACCCCTTGAAATATTCAGCCTCTCTTTTAGCCAAAACTTATTCTTTACTACATATTTATAATTTATACTGGTGAGATACGGCTCACTTTTTTCCCCTAGGTTGTGACACATATGATATGTTTATATCTAAGTATGAAAGACTTATGTAATAGCAAAACTTAATTAATAGAAAACAAAAACAAACTGCTGTGGACTTTTATTCTAGAATTGCCATTCTGAAGGAAAAAGCAAGAGAAACGAAATTAACAGGGAAGAAAGTAGTTAAGGTATGTAAACATCCTAGATTTTTTAGTTGAGTACGTTTGTAACCTCCTAGCTTTGCTCTCAGATAAGACTTATGAAAATATACTGCAGTTATGCAAGATTTTTAGGTACAGTTAAAAGTTAATCTAAGTTTTGAAGGTCCAAGGAAGCCATGCAGAAGTCTGTTTTTTCCTGGTCCTATAAAATATTACACTATAGCTTTCGCTGCTTTTTTAAAGTGGGAAAAAAAAGTGTTGCATAGGTTAGGAAGGATAGTCCCCTCACCTGTTCTAGCTTAAGACATGGGAGGAAATTCTAAGATGACAACAAACTATATGCACATATGAAAAATAATGCTTTAAGTTTGGCTTATAATATATAACCCTATGGTCTTAAAGTTTTGGTAGCACAGTGGAATTCTATAGAGTTAACAATTCATTGTTAAAAAATTTAGCTTTCCAACAGGTTCCCCCTTTTATATGTAACAATTATCTCTATAACACAAACATTATTAATAGCTTAACATCATAGATATATTCTTCTGTAATAATTTTTCTCAAATTCCCATAGGACTTTCTCGCTAAGTTTAAAATAAAGAACTTACAGTCAAAGAATTTTCACCATCATCATGTCTCATGTGATTATGATCTCTTCCTCTGCCATCAGAGATGCTAAGCAAATCTCTTCCAAAAGGTTCAGAAAAACTTCTCATCATCTGTCGCATACTTTCTCGGTGTGCAATAAAAGAATCGCTGTTGAAAATACATATAATCATTCAAGAGTAAGTGTTGGAATTTAAATAATTAATACGTAGGCAGCTAAATACTACAAAGAATTATTTTGGTCTAATATTCTTGTTGAAGAGACAAGAGAAGAGTTTAGGCAAGTAGAATTATCTCGCTAAGACCTACTAACTCATAAATACAGAAACTGTTCCATTTGCTATCTACTATAATTCATCTATGTATAAATACACCTTTATTTATCCTTTATTGTATAAAAATGACAAACACAAACTGACACATCTTGGGTAGCTTAAGCCAGCAATAAGAAAAATGGCAAAAAAAAAAAAAAAAAAAAAAAGGACTGGAAAATTTTGCTACCAGGTAGAGGTCATTCTAGGTAGCCACCAATATAACTTCTACTGAGAACTAATAAAGAATGCTGGCTTGGGGCACCTGGGTGGCTCAGTCGGTTAAACATCTGACTTCAGTTCAGGTCATGATCTCATGATTTGTGGGTTCGAGCCCGGTGATGGGCTCTGTGCTGACAGCTCAGAGCCTGGAGCCTGCGTCAGATTGTGTCTCTCGGTTTCTCTGCCCCTCACCCACTCACACTCTGTCTCCCTCTCTCCCTCTTTCTCAAAAATAAACATAAAAAAAATTATGCTGGCTTATTTTTTAACTCTTATTTATGAAATATGAGCATTGAGAACTATAGCTATGTTACAACACTGTAAATATACATTATCTTAATAGTCAAAAATAAAGCTACAGATCACCTTTATGAGGCTAACTTTTGTTTCTATGAACTCTTAAGTTCTTAGAACTCTTTTTTTTTTTTTTTTTTTAAGTTTTAGAGAGTGAGACCATTCATGAGAGGGGGAGAGGAGCAAAGGGAGAGGCAGACAGAATCCCAAGCAGGCTCCACACTCAGCGTGGAGCCTGATGCAGGGCTGAATCCCACGACCCTGGATCATGACCTAAACCAAAATTAAGGGTCGGACGCTCAACTGAATAAACCACCCAGGCGCTCCTGCTAAGAACTCTTAATATCAGAAATCACCGCATAGTAAAAATATTTTCTAGTCTTAAGATAGCTGTTCTCAAACTTTGAAATTACCAAGCAGGTAATGAGGTTTGAAATGCAGATTTCTGTCCTCCCCCCCTCCCCCACAACATTCCAATCACATTTATTAGTTCTGGGTGTGATTTGTGGACATGCATCCCTGGTGATCATAACTCAAGCAGTCCTTTCACCAACCTTTGAGGAATAGTATCCTTTCTGTGTACACAGTACCCAAATTAATTAGAACCCAAGCCTGCTTTCTGAACCTGTTTCCATAGCTGTAAAATGAGGATAATATTGCACATCCCTGTTGCTGAGATTAAAGCATGTAATCTGAAGGCACAAAGTACAGTATCTAGTCCATATAATATGTTAAATGTTAATCTCTCTTACCTTCTCCTCTTATTAGCCCATGTATGAATGCTACTTCCTATAATTCTATTATTAATATTAAATACCTCTCATTGAGAAAAGATATGTATTTTATTTAAAAATACATATAGCAATAACCATGTTCCAGGCTGTTTTCTATTTGTATAAATATCAGTGTTCTTAATCTGATGTTATCCCAATCACCCCAAGTCCCATTCAAGAATGTAAAATTTTAGGGGTACCTGGGAGGCTCAGTCGGTTAAGTGTCTGACTTCGGCTCACAGTTTGTGAGTTCGAGCCCTGTGTCGGGCTCTGGGCTGACAGCTTGGAGCCTGGAGCCTGCTTTGGATTCTGTGTCTCCCTCTCTCTCTGCTTCTCCCCTGCTCATGCTCTCTCTTGCTCTCTCTCTCTCTCTCTCTCTCTCTCTCCCAAAAATAAACATTAAGGGGCGCCTGGGTGGCTCAGTCGGTTGAGCGTCCGACTTCGGCTCAGGTCATGATCTCACAGTCCGTGGGTTCGAGCCCTGCGTCGGGCTCTGTGCTGACCACTCAGAGCCTGGAGCCTGTTTCAGATTCTGTGTCTCCCTCTCTCTCTGCCCCTCCCCCACTTGCACTCTGTGTCTCTCTGCCTCAAAAATAAATAAACATTTAAAAAAAACATTTTTAAAAAGAATGTAAAATTTTATTGCCTTATTATAGTGGTTTCTTAACTTCATTTCAGTTTGAAAAGCACTGACCCACTGGTCACTTCCTTACTGCTCACTCTAGAAGTTAAGGCACATCACCACTGGAGTGCACTTTACCAAGGCAACCTTACTCTTCCCTGTAGTCTTTTGGAGCCCCCTAATAGTTTGTCCCCCTTTCAGACTTCCCCACCTTAGTTTCATCCTCCTGGGGTTACCCTTCCCACTTCTCATTCTAAACTCCAACCTTCTAATGTCATCATGAGGAAGCTCAAAAATTCTGTCTTCCTTCAGTAGTCTCAGGCAGAAAGAGCTTTCCTTTGAATTGTGCAGTATTTGTATACATAACCCTATCTCAAAGGAGCTCGGATTGAGTCATATTGTCACCTTGGAGGTTAAAAAAATAATAATAAAAACTTCAAATGCAAATGATTAGTAAACCACTCAACTGGATTATGCTTATGTTATAAAAGAGGTTTTCATTTTAATTCAGTTTTGTTTAGGTTTAATTTAAATATGAAATTTATCCATTTTAGTCATACTGTTTGATGAATTTTGAAAAATGCATTATAGTAACAACCACCACCACAAAGGTGTAGAACATTTCTACCCGCAATGTTCCATCCTGCTTCTTTGCAGATAATTAGCTCCCTCTAACCCTAGTTACCACTGACAAACTTAAAAAAAAAAAAAAGAAAAGATAAAGAAAGCCTATTTATTTATTTTGAAAGAGAGCAAGTGGAGTAGAGACAGAGAGAGAGAGACAGGAGAGAATCCCAAGCAGGTTCCTCATGGCCAGTGCAGAGCCCGATGTGGGGCTCGAACTCACAGACTGTGCTATCATGACCTGAGCTGAAATCAAGAATTGGATGCTTAACCTACTGAGTCACCCAGGCGCCCCACCACTGACAGGCTTTCTGTCACTATAGTTTCACCTTTTCCAGAATTTCATATAATGGAATCATACATTATGTTGTCTTTTGTGCCTAGCTTCTTTTACTTAGCATAATGCTTCTGTGATTCATCCACGTTGTTCCATTTATTCAGTTTTATTGCTAGGTACATTGTATGTATATGATTATGTCACAATGTAATAATAAACAGTTTCTAGTTTTTTGCTATTATAAATAAAGCTTCTATGAACATTCATGTACTGTTTTCTATGTATATATGGTTTCATTTCTCTTGTGTAAAATAACTAGCAATAGGATTTCAGAGTTGTGCGGTGATTGTTTAATTTTATAAAAAGCGTGAACTTAGAGTTCTAGTTGTGCTACATTCTTGCTTGATAATTGGTATTATCAGTCTTTTTGATTTTATTCATTTGAATGGTGGTGTAATAGTATCTCATTGGGGTTTTATTTTGTGTGTCATTCATATATCTTATTTGATAAAATGTGTTCAAATTTTTTCCCTATTTAAAAAAACCAGATTGTCTTATTGTTATAGACTTGTAACAGTTCTTTATATATTGTAGACATAAGACTTTTATCAGATGTTTGTCTTGTAAGTATGGCTTCCCAGTCTTGGACTTGCCTTTTCATTCTCTTAACATCAACTTATTCAGCCACATGGATCTTTGTTAGGTCTTCAGTTTCGCCAGACCTTTGCGTAGTAGTTTTATTTCTGACTTAGTTTTCTATCTGTGTCATCATCTTTGCATAACTAATTTCCATTCTCAAAACATTTTATATATTTCTATAAGCTGCTTTCAATTATTTTTAGAAGATGAGGCATAAGTACAATTTTTAAAATGAAGGGAAGAATTGAAACAGGCAGTTAGATAGAAGTAGACAATCTGAGGGAAGTATAGTTAAAAAAAGTAAACTGTGTTGATTATTTTAATGTACCTTCTGAATTTCCTGTCTAAAAGTTAAAAGGCTTATTTGTATTTTATATCTTCTAATATGAGAAATTTATTTTAGGTTTTCTTTAAAAAATTTTTGACATTATTGAACTTAATTTCAGTTAGGAATATTATAAACTTGATTATCTAGTCTCTGGTACACTAATGAACTCACTAATTTATATGTGTGGTAGGCAGCTTCTAAGATGGCCCCCAATGATCCCCTTCCTTTAAGTATGGGCTGGATTTACTGACTTGCCCCTAATAGAATGTGGATTCTGCTTGGGCACTGTATTAGCATGATGACTCATTCTGGGGCAAGCAGCTGCTATGCTGTGAGACAGCCCTGTGGACAGGCCTACCTGCATGAGCTTAGAAGCAGATTTTTAAGACGTCAACAACCACATTTAAGAACTCGGAAGTAAATTGTCTATCGGTCAAGCCTTGAAATGATGACAGCCTTGACTCACAACTTGATGCAGCCTCCTAAGAAGCCCTGAGTCAGAACCACCCAGCCCAGAACAGCCCAGAAAGCTGTTTCTGGATTTCTAACCAACAGAAATGATATAATAAATGTTTGTTGTTTTAAGCTACTAAATTATAACAGCAATAAATAATACCTATTACACCCCAAAGCACAGCATATAACACATCTAAAACTATCCTCATTCTAATTCTTCAATTTTGTTGGTTTTATCTAAAGACTAGGAGCAAAATGAATGCAAATCTATAAAAATAGTTTGTCTGTAGGTCTGTTTGGTATCATGAAAAAAATTTTTTTTATTTTCACCAAATTTTGAGACTATGTTTGGGATGGTATGAATTAAAATATAAGCTTCCACAAACCTCAGGAGGATGGGGTTTCTCGGACAGGTGGTCTTACTCTAGAGCAGTTGAAACAGACACAAGAAGCCCTTGAAATTGTTGATTAGAAGACACAAGTCTCATGTATTAAAGCACTTGAGCCAGAGAAAACCAACTCTGGTTTAAATGAATACCCTTTCTCCAATCAAAAGTCACTAAGGAAAAGCTTCAGAACTGCAGATATTGATTGCAATACAGAT